GATTGCGCTACCAGGAGGCAGCCTATATACGGCGGTCAAAGCCTGACCTGTGTAAACAGTTGGAGAATTTGATTAATCTAACTTTGCCTTGGTAACACCGGCTTCTCTACCCACCTTAACGCCTTTTCCCTCTGCTTTTCTTTCCACACTGTTTTAACCAGCTTACTTTACTTATTAGCCTTCGTGACTATGTCCTATGACCTTAGTGACCTTTCTGTACGAAGTTAATTTTGTATTTTTTTCTCATTCTTTACTCACATTATGCAGCGAGAGGTGACAGCTGATGAGAACTTTCGAAATTCACGGATCCATTAAATTTTTGCAATCTTCAAGGACCAATAAAGACAAAAAATGGCACAGTGCGTGAGAATCAATTAAGAGAAGGTTAGGTGAAGTTAAAGATAATTGTGAAGTAGCTTATAGTACATATACCTTGTTGGATATAATTTAAAAAGAAGAATCTAGTTAGTAATGTTCACCTTTGCTAAGGAGAGCGGGAAAACTAGTGACTGTATTTTACGCACCGGCACCTGTTTTGGTTTGATGCTGTTTTCTTCCCACAATTGAGACGCATTAGCGCATTAAAATACGGAATCTTTTAAAGCTTTTTTTCTATAAAAAAAAGTGTTTGCGTTACGCGGTAACGTTAAGGCTCTTCTCTTTTTTTCCGGATCCCGGTAGAACGATCATTTACGAGATCTTCTCGGGTGCTTACCCTATGCCCGCCACCTCTGCCTCCCAGTACGCGACCTACATTATCCATGGACATCGAGCCGATCTCACGACTCTGAAGGTACCGCCAACTATTCAGGTTAGTTTCACTTAATCGAAATGGCCCAGAAAACAAAGGCCACGTCAAAGCACGTAGCACTCACAGAGATTAAAATATGAGTTTAAACATCTTAAGTAGGTTGGGCTTACCTTTTATATTAATTAACCCTTAAACTCACCATGAGACGACGTCAATACTGAGGTAAGAACTGTCTGTCGTCGGTTGAGTTAGTAATCGTCAATTTTTTTCAGGTATTTATGAATGAGCTTCCATGAAGATAAGTTAGCCTTTCGTATAAATTGGAAAGCAGGCATCCCAAGAAGTGCAATTTCAAGGAAAGGCCTTTTTTGGGAAAATGAGGAGCCTTTATTCAGTAAATTTGCGGCACGGGATTCCCAGGTCATCGTCAGACTTGAGAAGCTGTACGGTATCACAAGCTTCACATGGGATTTTGTAGATTATTTCTTTTTCATTGACCGATGGCTACTTTACGCACCCAGCTAGAATACCGTAGGGATAGGATTGGCTACCTCGATAAGAAAGAAGTCATCTACAAAATCCTATGCGAAGCTTGTGATAACGTATATGGTGTCCGTCTCCACAAGTACTAATTGGCCGCGAAGAAACATGACCATTTGTCCGAAGTAGCTAACGTTGCCTTGACATAAGACGCACATTTGCATGGGACAAGACACGCATCGTCGTTATTTTCCCTTCCAAAAACGGCCGAGAATTTCTTGAGGCCATGCACTCCGATGATTCATGCATCAAGCGAAGTATCGAGTTGCATGGAGTGTACAAACATGTCAAAGAAAGATGGCAGAGACTACAGCCAATCACTACGGACCAACGTGAACCACAATTAGTGCTCACACCGGATGACCCGTACTGATCCCGGACCAACGCAAATTACAGTTGCCTATTAGCCATTACGTTATTGTGTCTATTAATTTTTTCCACTACGGAGTGGCGCAAATGCCAGCTGTCAATTAGCATCCACTCTACCCAGCCATTTAAACGACTTTATAACTGTACTAACACTTTTGAAATGGTAATTGTTCGCTGCACAGCATGTCAAGTCTGACGACGACCTGAGGATCTTGTGTTGAAAATTTACTGAATAAAGTTTCCCAAAGAACGTCTTTCCTTGATAAATAGTTTAGTCTCTTGGGAGGTTAAGTTCCAGAACTTGATTTGCGTCAACAATATATGCTTACTACATTGCAACTTAACTATGTAAATGTGCCTGTGTATTTCACAGACCTGCATAAACACGCTGCTGCTCAAAAGCAAGCATTAACGCAGACAATCTTAATGAGTAATATGAAACGATTATCGCAGGCAGGCAGACACTGAATTTCTAGTTGGATTTAGAAAAAAAGAAGATCTAGAGTTGAGAACTAGAAGACACTTGTAAACTTGTTTTGTGAAAACTTCCCCGTTACTCGGAAGCCCACCCAAAGCATCCTCCAAACTCTGTGGTAAAAATTCAAATTCAAATAGGACTGTGTCGACCAGAAATAATGTAACGCAATCGTCCTTAAACTAAATATCTTCCAAGAATTTCTCTAATATACAACATGGCCGTCAGCCAACTGTTACACTTTTTTCTGATGTTTTGACACTTATCTCATGATAATAATTCGATAAAGTAATTTGGTGTCGCAGTGTTTACTACGCAAGTGACAGTGGCAACTCGATATCAATTTATTTCTTGGATAGCAATCTCACAGAAAGGAAAATTTTAACTTGGTTGGTTCTGAGAAAGCCAGTCAGTGATTCGGAAATTGGAATGTGTGTAACTACTGAAATTATGCACACAGAAGTTCATGTGTATCAAAAGAATTTTCCTCTTGTGAGTTCACTGTGTGCTTTTTGCAGGGAATTATTTTACGGAGATTTAAAATATCCGTGATATGTCAGTGAATAGTTTGCGGCTTTTAAGGTTTTTACAGTCAACTGTCCAAACGAGTCGATTCTAGTGATGCTTTCAAAATAAGACTGGAGTTAAAAGGTTGTACAGATATACGGAGTTCCTCGGTGTCTTTTACCTACAGGTTATTTGGGCCGTTTCACCAAAGAAAATGGAAGTCTACAACATCGTCTTGTGATAAATGGGTTTTGAGTAGATGCAGAATCTTCTCTGAGGTTTCACTGTTTAAGAAATGCTTCGGTGTGGGTATTTTGAGGATGAAACTGCACATCCTTCATCTCTTTCTTCCGAAACAAATTTAGTGATACATGTTTAAACGTTTGCTTGCTCACGCATCTCTCTGAATTATAACAGTTCAACTGATGGGCGATGGAGACTTCTTGATTAGGTACTTACCTATACTAGCCCTATCGACCTAGAAATTGCAAGATGGATAAAGAAAAGGATTGACTGCTCGCGTTATTGTTTTTAGGACAAAGACTCCCACAGATCAGTAGATAGAATAGTATTAGTATCAGGGATAAAAGAGACTGCTGTAGCCATTCCTGCCTTATTAGAGAGAGAATGCTTTATTTGGAAGGTAATATCCAAAATATTCAGCAACAATGACTCCATTCACGGAAAGCAAGGGATAAGGTAAGGTAAAAAGTCATAGAATACTTAAAGTTAAAGGTTAACACGATATCCTTATCCATTAGGGAGACAGGTCGGCTTTCAACTTCTAAATTTCCGTTTCATCACACCTGAGGTAGCGTGCTAGGAATGGGAGTACCAAGTACTGATATGCCGATGTACGGCACGACATGTGACGGAAGCTTTGGCGCATAGTATGGGAAGACTTCTCAGCCACTATTTCAAAGTGGATAGGATGAGCGACCTCACTAAGGATGCGATTAGCAAATTGCTTGACCAATTTAAAGTGTCACTGTATTATAATATCAGCTAAAACATATAGGAAACACTGGCAGCTGAAGAGAACGTTCGTAGGATACGTTTAAAAACGGCCAGCTCTTTTTAAGGTAAAGCTGGAAAAATAACTGGAGAGCAGTTAGGAATGAGAGGGAGAATGCAGGGATCTATACATCGCCAGATTAGGACTTGCGGTGTGCGATATGAACGCAAACAGCGGACATAATATAAACATTTACGAATTTTAGTGAAGAGGCCTTTAATATGAAGAGTAAAGGAGAGGTTAGGTGCCAGAGTAATACCGAGGTACCGGAAAGAGGATACCTCATTGGACAGAATGTTAATGTATTCAGGATTAGGAGAAGGTCGCAATCGAAAAGCACACTGGACTGACTCCTGGTGGTTAAGTAGAAGGTCATGTGCTGACGATCATGCTGAGACGTAGTCCAGGCCATCTTCCAGTACTTGGAGATTTGTCGAACTTTTTAGAGGATGGCCAACAAGCATATCATCAGCATATTTAACGTCATCAAAAGGCCATACCCTATCTCAGGTGTTGCCAAGTGTTGGGCAGAGTTTAAAGCCCAAATAAATGCTGTTCAATGAGTGGTTGCAGTAATTTGCGATTGGATGTGACGTTAAAGCCGCAAACTGTAGCCTGTATCATCGTTAAGGTGGTAGATTTTGGAGTTCCCAAGATGTTGCCTCTGATTGAACGCTCACCGATTGCTTACGGAACTCATTCGTCCCGTTCTGCCCTAATGCTCTCTCTCGAAACCCGCCAGCAGTTTATGCAGAGGAGTATCGCCGACAAGGACTGAAATGGCCATTTCTGGCTCAGTAGCCATCATAAGCCAATCATACCAAAACCCCGGGTCGTGCAATATCCGAGACTCCATGGTGTTTCATAGCGTGGTCGATGACCCCCCCCATACTTACGCTTTCAAACAGAAATATTTCATTAACATTTCTGAAAAAGGAACGGCCTCTAGCTTACCGAAAATAGCATGAATAGCCCTATATTATCTGGTTTGATCGATGCGGATAGAAAAATAAAACGCTAATTTTTTTTAATTATTAGGAGGGGGGTGGGGAGGTTGGCAGATTTAAATAATTCAATTGAACCAACTGCGAAAAGATTGCGGCCTTGGTGAGACTAGAACCCACATCCTACAGGGAAGGCTTTAGTTCAGCCAACGCTCTTCCAAGTGAGCTAGGAAGGCACGCCAAGAGCCTTGAATTTACTCACACTTAGGTGGATTTAACTCCCTCCCAGCATACTGCTCGTATGTAATCCACCAATACGAAATACAGGAAGCTGATCGCCTAGGCAGGATTTCCAAAGCACTAGTCTAAAATTCCCCCCCC